GGACAGGGAGTGGGTCGACATTAAACAGAGACTCGTGTTTGCTTTAATATGGGGAAAACAAATGTTTGTGTGTCAGAGTTAATATTGTTCAATTAAAACAAATCAAATAGTGAATCTCACAGAAAGACTCACAGCCTGTGCGTGCCATGGTGTGCGCCCGTGGCAGCACTAGAGGTTTGGTCAMATGCGCAAAGTTGGAGATATCTGTTTGATAACACTCTGAACACAAGTATTTAATATAAAGTTAAGTTTTAGAGACCAAAGTCTCAGGAAGTTGCTTTTGCAGAGTGTCTGTTTCGCCTGGCCTCACTGAAAGTCCCACCCTGCTCTGATTGGACAAAACTGCTCTGGGCTTTGTTTGAGCATTCGTTTAATGCTGAATCATTRGACCAGGCGTTTTAACAAGACTGCAACAGTTTTCCTTTTTCCGTTACAGATTTTTTTCTTCGTTCTGGCCACATTCAAAATGAAGGAAATCCAGCGTTGCGACGGAGAACTGTARGTATAGACGAGTCCAACAGAAGATTCAACATTTGTTGACGGTTTWATTACCGACCTTCAACAGTCAGATAGGCCCATGAAGAGTCGCAGCCGTGGCTGTTACATGCAGTGCAGGTGTACAGACCACTATCCTCCTTCTTCACACGCTGAATTGTCAGGTTGTGCTGGTTCAGAATCACACCTGAAGGAAGCCATTTTGTAGATTTTATTTAAAACGTGTTTTAACCTTTAAAATGAGTCAGACTGCAGTCTAAATATGTGAGTGTYCCACCTGATCCCTTCTCCATTGTTTGGTTGTTTTTGGTCCACACCACTGTTGGGTTTGGTGTCCCAACAGCATCACATTGGAGGGTGACAGTCGCACTCATGTTGACTTTCTGGTTGGTGAAATTATTACGAATCTTCGCAGCCTCAAGATCTAATGTCAAAAACATCAAAGAATTATGTAAAGCACAACTGAAAGATTTGAGCTGCGATAGGTCATTTGAAATTTTCAGGCGATTGAAGTGCACTGGCTGCATTTTAAAAGACAAAATACATTTTTTAAAGGGATCCCCGATTAGTTGTAACATTAAACTTTAGTTAATAAACATATATTTTAACTGTAAAATAAAGACTGTAAAAATACTGTAGGATGTTTAGTTTTTATAATTTTAAACTAAAAGTTTAAAAAATTTATTACACAGACAAGGCCATTTTATTTACACACAAATCATTCTGGGTAAATGATGACATGGATAGGTCCTCGGTGTGAGGC